AAAGTTTTCTATCTAAGGAAAACCAGCTGATTGCATCGACTCATTGACTCTTCAGCAATGGGTGGATTATACTTCTGCAGCTGCACACATCAAATGTCGCCAACCAGTTTTTCTGGTGTGATTCTGCAACGTCGGTCTGGAATTTCTAGGGATGCAGCAGTTTCCCGCCAAAGAGCGAGGGGGAACCTATTGGAGAACTTGGGAGAATTTCGGCGGATTGTCACAGAACTTCGCCGGCTGGAGTGTTTATTTTCCAAAACATGTCTGAGGCATCGTACAACTGGTTGTACTTCCAAACCTTTCGTCGTAGTTATCCATTGCTGTTATTACTCCTCGGGTTTTAAAAATGGCGCGCCCCAGCATCGCATCGAGAAGGACGACCACACAGTCAGCCGGAAAGGCATACCAGGAACCAACAACAGCTGCTTTTAGTCTGCAAACTTCCGCTTGAGGTCTGGCGGGTTTGCGACCGTATGACATGTAATCAGGATTTTTTTTATGTTTGCAACGACGGCTGCAGAACCTCTGCGCGGGGGGCGTGGTCACGCACAGATTCAGATTTGACGTTTGCAGAGGCTATGCGTCAGAAGCATAAATTGGCCTTAAGCATGCTTGTAGCGACAGTGGAGAGGAATTGTGCAGATGACATTTTTTGGTGCAGTATCGGCCGATACCATTTGTTTGAAATTTATGTGTGTATAAATGACGAACTGCATTCTACTGTGATGTAAAATAATTTCCATCATGGCTTCAAGCTGCTGCCTACCTTTGTGAAGCAGGAAAAATGCTTTTTATTGCCTACCTGGAATGGGTGACAATAGTTAAAGAAACTTTTGGCTCTCAAAATGGTATCAGTGCCCTATTGGTTGGTACTCGCCGATACCGATACCACCTTTTTTAGTGCAGGATCGGGGCCCCGCTCCATACTGGTATCGGTGCAACACTACTTTCACCAGACTCGCAGTGAGCGGCCGTCTGCTGAGGACGACTGGGGTTCAAGGAGATTGAATCAGAGATTTCTACTGGGAACTCTGGTTATAAAACAGCAACAGTTATTAAAGCTATAAATATGGAAAAAGCTCTAAATGCCCATAAAGTATAGTAGAGGATCAGTGATGCTGTGGGCCCGTTTGTCTGCCATGATTACCTGCATCTCTGATCACAAACCAAAAGCCTTTAGAAAACTTGTCCCTCAGATAGAACCGATGACCGGCCGGCCAACCCAGGAGACGTTAGAGACGACCGTCTGCTGGAAGCAAAGATGCAGAAGCTTTTTCTACCAGTGATTTTATTTCTTCTGCCATAAAATTTAAAAGTTTTTTAAAGAGGGAAGGCAATATATGTTCAGGGTTCTGAAAGTAAATGGTCTCCTAACAGAACTTTAAGGTGTTTATTTCTTCCTTTAACCCATTTGATTTATCATTAACGTACTTTAACACATCATACAGCGAGACTCCCTGACCAGACAGGTTGATATAAAGTCCTTCAGACATCATTTCAGGGTTGTTGAAAAGGGGAGTTTATTAAATTTTAAATGAAATGGATCCAGAAACTGTTCTCACCAGATATCTTTGGGTGTTTTGCTTCCCAGACGATTAAATTCATCAGATTTTTAGGCTGACTTCAGGCTAAATGACAGGAGTTAGCTTTGAGTGCATCACTCTCTCAGGATGAAACATCCTGATTTTAACTGATTCACCTGCTTGTCTTCAAAGCTGCTCTGAACCTCCACAGAGAAATAATTATCCTGCTTCACAGGCCCGGCCTCTGCGTGCGCGGCTCGTATCTCATCAGCTCAGCTAGAGAGTAATTACCTCCTGGTTGCTGCTGAACCAGGCAGCCGACCACATGAAAGCCTGGTTTAATTGGCAGGCTGTTATCTGGTCGGCTAGATGACGGAGGGATGCGTCTCTGTAACCTCGCTGCCTCCCAACTAACCTGATCTCAGTCACTGTGAGGACGTGTTAACAAGAGGGATAATGAAATATTCATCAGCGATGGTCTAAAACCGGACATGCATCCGATAATCCGCCCATCATTAATGACCTGTTTAGTCATAATTAACACTTAAAGGAAGGAGGATTAACACTCAGTTAATGAATGGAGGATGGGTTTTAGAAATAACCCAAATAGAAACATAGGAAAGGACCCAAAACATAAATTAGTATAATTTATTCCCATATCTCACCATCCTGACTGAGAGACTCGTTATTTGTTGGATTTTAACTTCCTTCCTGTTCTTGCAGCCTGCCTATGCGGTTCTGGGTGAACATCCTTAGAAACCCGCACTTTATCTTTGACGTCCACGCGACGGAGGTGGTGGACGCCTCGCTGCACGTCATCGGTCAGACCTTCATGGACGCCTGCACCAAGACGGAGCACAAACTCAGCAGGGTAAGTTCTCACCTTCAGGTAAAACGCCGTCGTTTAAAACAGGTGCTTCCTAAGATCCACATACGGTGGCAGCCATCAGGTGTTTGTCTTCAGACTGTTATCTTTAAGGTCTTTGATTCAATTGAAAAATTACAACAAATGATGTTTCTGTGAGGAAACTTCAATCTTTGAGTTAAGGAGCCATTTTTAAACTTGACAGATCAGTTGGACAAAGTTAAGAGCGAAATCTTTTTAAAACGGTCTCATAGTCGAGTAAAAACAAATAAAAAAACAACTTAAGAGTCTAAGTAAGGCCCTCAGGAAACCTGGGGGAGCTCATCAGAACAAAACGGCATTTTTGGAAGTAAAACGTGACGCGTCGTCCCCTTTGATTTTCAATTAATGGCCCATGTTCGTTAAAAACCGAAGGAGGCCAAT